TCTGCGGAGAAGGGCATCCAATCTGGCTATGTAATCAATTCAAGGAGATGGCCGTACCTGAAAGATGGGAAACGGCGAAGCAACACAGTTTATGTTACAGATGTTTAGGAGCGAACCATGTCGGTGAGTCATGTACAAGGTCAAGAGTCTGTGGCCTGAATGGATGTGTAGATACACATAACAGATTGTTGCATGAGGCTAAAAGGAGAGAGTCGAATAAGGAGGACAGTACCAGTGGTCAAAAGGCCAATGACAGCCAAAAAGCAAAGCAAGGTGCACAAGGACCAACCACAGAGGGGAGGCAGCAGAGATCCGAGAGATCACACATGACCACGGTACATGCGAAAGAAAACGTCTAGGAGGAATACATTGCGTTGAGAACAGTACCCGTGATACTAAAGAATGGAGGGCGGAAGCTAGTCGTAAATGCACTGCTGGACGACGCCAGTACCAAGACGTACGTAAATAGCGATGTCGCTGCTGAGTTGGGACTACAGGGCGAGAGTCGTAAAGTAACGGTCAACGTTCTTAATGGCCAGGAAGATACGTTCGAGACGGTGCCAGTCGAGTGTGGGATAGAGAGCTTAGATGGTAGAATAAGCATTAGGATTACTGCGTTTACAGCAAACTGAGTCACAGGCAACATGAAAGGGGTTAATTGGGCCAGGTACGCCAAGAACTGGAACCACCTTAAGGATATAGACTTCCCTTATCTGGGGCCACGTCCGATTGTTGATATCCTGATCGGTATCGATAATGCAGACCTACATTATTCCATCAAAGATGTAAGAGGTACACCAGGCGAGCCAGTGGCAAGACTGACACCTTTAGGGTGGACATGCATCGGGCACCCCAGTCTGTGTCTCGAACAGAATTACCGGACAAACTTCATACGTACTTACTCCGTGTACGAGGACTCAAGTGTTGAGTTGGGCAACGCTATTCGAAAGTTCTGGGAGATAGAAGACGACGGATTACAGGCGAAGACCAAGACACTAAAGCCAGAAGACAAAGTCGCACTTGGAGCACTTAAGAAGTCAATAAAGTTTGAGGATGGACGATACGAGGTTGGAGTACCCTAGAAGGAAGAAAAGCCGTTCATGCCAGACAACTACGAAACAGCGCTAAGGCGGTTGCAGAACACAGAGAAACGTTTATGCATATATCCAGAAATCGGAAAGTGCTATTCAGACGTAATTAATCAGTAAGAAGCCAAGGGGTATAGAAGAAAGGTTCCAGAGACGGAGAAAAAACCCAGCGAATAATGGTATTTGCCCCACTTCGCTGTCATAAGGCCAGATAAAGAAACAACAAAGACGAGAATCGTGTTTGATGCGTCCGCTAAGAGCGACGGGATTTCTCTAAACGACGTCATACACCAAGGACCCGAGTTGCAACGTGAACTTTCAGTGTTTCACTATGATTTCGCAAGAACCCCGTAGCATTGGTGTGTGACATCGCTCAAATGTACCTACGAATAAGCCTAGCACCAGGAGACAGACCCTTTCAAAGATTCTTGTGGAGATCGTTGGATCAGACCAGGACGCCGGACGTGTATGAGTTTAATAGAGTAGTTTTTGGAGTGAATTCGTCACCATTCCAAGCTCAGTTTGTCACTCAAGAGCATGCGC